AAAGTCAAATTAGTACAATCTCGGTCAATTATATTGTAACCGAACTCGAATTAGTCAAATTGAGGTTCAGTTGAACTCAAATTAGTCCAATTGAACTCAAATTAGTACAATTGAACTCAAATTAGTCCAATTGAACTCAAATTAGTACAATTGAACTCAGATTAGTCCAATTGAACTCAAATTAGTCCAATTGAACTCAAATTAGTCCAATTGAACTCGAATTAGTCAAATTGAACTCAAATTAGTAAAATTGAAGTCAAATTTGTACAATTGAAGTCAAACTAGTACAATTGAACTCAAATTAGTCCAATTGAAGTCAAATTAGTACAATCTCGGTCAGTTATATTGTAACCGAACTCGAATTAGTCCAATTGAGGTTCAATTAGTACAATCTCAGACAATTATATTGTAATCGAACTCGAATTAGTCCAATTGATGTCAAATTAGTAGAACTGAACTTGAATTAGTCCAATTGAACTCGAATTAGTCCAATTGAACTCAAATTAGTACAATTGAAGTCAAACTTGTACAATTGAAGTCTAACTAGTACAATTGAACGCAAATTAGTTCAAATGAAGTCAAATTAGTACAATCTCGATCAACTATAGGGTAATCGAACTCGATTTAGTCTAATTGAACTCAAAGTAGAATAATTAAACTCGAATTAGTCCAATTGAATTCAAATTAGTATAATATCTGCCAATTATAGTGTAATCGAACTCGAATTAGTCCAATTGAATTCAAATTAGTACAACTGATGTCAAATTAGTACAACTGAACTCGAATTAGTCCAATTGAACTCGAATTAGTCCAATTGAACTCAAATTAGTACAATTGAAGTCAAATTTGTACAATTGAAGTCAAACTAGTACAATTGAACTTAAATTAGTCCAATTGAAGTCAAGTTAGTACAATTGAAGTCAAACTTGTACAATTGAAGTCTAACTAGTACAATTGAACGCAAATTAGTTCAAATGAAGTCAAATTAGTACAATCTCAATCAACTATAGGGTAATCGAACTCGATTTAGTCTAATTGAACTCAAATTAGTACAATAAATGTCAAATTAGTACAATTAAACTCGAATTAGTCCAATTGAATTCAAATTAGTATAATATCGGTCAATTATAGTGAAATCGAACTCAAATTAGTCCAATTAAGGTCCAATTAGTATAATCTCAGATAATTATATTCTAATCGAACTCGAATTAGTCCAATTGAACTCAAATTAATACAATCTCGATCAATTATAGAGTAATCGAACTCGATTTAGTCTAATTGAACTCAAATTAGTACAATTGAACTCAAATTAGTCAATTAAAGTCAAATTAGTACAATCTCGGTCAATTATATTGTAACTGAACTCGAGTTAGTCCAATTGAGGTTCAGTTGAACTCAAATTAGTCCAATTAAGGTCCAATTAGTACAATCTCGGACAATTATATTGTAATTGAACTCGAATTAGTCCAATTGAACTCAAATTAGACCAATTGAACTCAAATTAGTACAATTGAACTCAAATTAGTCCAATTGAACTCAAATTAGTCCAATTGAACTCGAATTAGTACAATTGAACTCAAATTAGTAAAATTGAAGTCAAATTTGTACAATTGAAGTCAAACTAGTACAATTGAACTCAAATTAGTCCAATTAAAGTCAAATTAGTACAATCTCGGTCAGTTATATTGTAACCGAACTCGAATTAGTCCAATTGAGGTTCAATTAGTACAATCTCAGACAATTATATTGTAATCGAACTCGACTTAGTCCAATTGATGTCAAATTAGTAGAACTGAACTTGAATTAGTCCAATTGAACTCAAATTAGTACAATTGAAGTCAAACTTGTACAATTGAAGTCTAACTAGTACAATTGAACGCAAATTAGTTCAAATGAAGTCAAATTAGTACAATCTCGATCAACTATAGGGTAATCGAACTCGATTTAGTCTAATTGAACTCAAAGTAGTACAATTAAACTCGAATTAGTCCAATTGAATTCAAATTAGTATAATATCTGCCAATTATAGTGTAATCGAACTCGAATTAGTACAATTGAATTCAAATTAGTACAACTGATGTCAAATTAGTACAACTGAACTCGAATTAGTCCAATTGAACTCGAATTAGTCCAATTGAACTCAAATTAGTACAATTGAAGTCAAATTTGTACAATTGAAGTCAAACTAGTACAATTGAACTTAAATTAGTCCAATTGAAGTCAAATTAGTACAATTGAAGTCAAACTTGTACAATTGAAGTCTAACTAGTGCAATTGAACGCAAATTAGTTCAAATGAAGTCAAATTAGTACAATCTCAATCAACTATAGGGTAATCGAACTCGATTTAGTCTAATTGAACTCAAATTAGTACAATTAATGTCAAATTAGTACAATTAAACTCGAATTAGTCCAATTGAATTCATATTAGTATAATATCGGTCAATTATAGTGAAATCGAACTCAAATTAGTCCAACTAAGGTCCAATTAGTATAATCTCGGATAATTATATTCT